AATACTCATAACTGTTTCCTGTTTTCATTCATTCTCTGTCCTACAAAACAACATTGTGCCATTAAAAGCTGTACTTATGCTTGTCTATGTGATTTTGTAAAAATTAGACTCAATATTAGATATATATAATGTATGTTTAAAGCATAAATTTTTCATGGCAATAAAAACTCCTAATAGCAAATAATGCCTCTTTTCCCCTTATACACAAAAGAACAGAACCAGAGAGAATTAACATTAGCTAATGATGCACAATCATATGGCAACTTTATCAAATCTATTTTTTTAAAAAAAAAATCAAACACAACAGATTTAATTGTAATGAATAGTAATTATTCCTAAACACTAAGTCAGCTATAGAAGCAGCAATGACTGGGTTTTTTTGTACAACCTATTTTAAATGTCTGTCCTTCCCTTATTAGTATACAAAGAGTTTATTTTCAAATGCCCTGTACTTTTTTCAACATAAAAGCAGTAACCAAAGATGCAAAAAACTTAAAGTATATTAAAGCTATTACTTAACAGTTGGGCAAATGGAATTTTTTCCAAACTCCAAAAATATTGACAAAAGAATATTTTGTAAAAAGTCTTTGAGATCGCTATCCAATTATAATACATTATGTGTTCAAGGAAGCCTGAATCAAAACACAATAAAAACTCATCGCAATTATTTCAAATCTAACATGTATGGGTAGCAGAAGCAAAAGAACAAATATGAATACTCTAAATTATTTTCAATGTATTAAGTGCCTGACCGTCAAAACTGTTTTTGAAATGTTAAAATGTTTAACAGAAATGTTAAAAAACAGGAAGAGCTATATAGTTTTGCCTTTAACCTCAGGAACATATTAGTCAGTATGATAACCTTGAAAGATGCACTTTGTGCATTGGAGGCACTGTCAAGATTTCCATTACAATAAGGAAGTCTCATATATTCTGTTTCTATATTAGCAATATCTCAATAAGAATACTAATAAATAGAGATAAATACATGGTCATTTCAAATATTTTAAAAGAAGTCCTTTTTAAAATGCATGGACCCAGCTTATACTCACAATACAAATGCAGTTCAAGCTATTTTATTCATTTTGTTAAATATATATTGTTTTTTCCACAGACAGATTTATTTTATTTATCTAATTTTGAAACTGCTCATCTCTTTCACAAAGGGAGACTACACGGAAATTTCCCTCAATTTTGCCCATACAACAACCACCTTATTGGAAAGGCTTCACTGAGAGGGTGAACTTGAACCTGGGTCTTCCAAGTTATAATTCAGCAATTTAACTACAATACAACATCAACTGTTACTTTAAAAAATTATGTCCAGTCCCAAGGAAAAAAACATGTGTTTAAAGTATTCCTACATATGTCAAACACATGTGCCCTAAATCCCTTTTTTTGCCTTTTCAATTCTTAACTCTGTACTGCCTTATAAATATAAACTATTATTCACTCAAAGCTAAAAACCAATCTGACTTTGTCCAAACCATCAAAACTGATATACCAATTTTCTCCACAACCATTTAACTTAAGACTAGTAGCCTACAATTCTTTATGCTTGTTTTTTTAAATCAAAAAATCATAACTCATACCCCATAGTTAAATTACAGTTTTTATGCTTTTTTAAAAGACAGAACTAATAACTCAGCAACTATGATACTTTGCTCCAGTTTACTGTAGTGAATAAAATAACAAGGAATTAGTTCCAAAGATTAACACCTGAATATGAAATCTGAGAGCTACCCTTTGTTCAAGTTGGAAAAGGAAGTCCAGAAGGAAAACAGACTCTAAACAATGTTTGATTAGTCTATATTACCTGACTCAAATCATTCACACCCTCCACATACTTCACCATTTATGAGTTTCAAGGTTCAGGAAGTGAAAAAAACAATTGCTTTTGCCAGAACAAAACAAAGACAGATATTATGACTTATTGCTATTTTATTAAACATGTATCTCATACATCCACCAGGAATAGGCAACTAATAAAAACATTAGAATTTTAACTTTTCAGAAGCTTAGTTGAATATTTCATTGGGCCTTAACACATATTTTCATTTATTTCTTGCTCTAGTTCTGGTGCAGCCAAGTATATTTAATTAGTAGACATAAAGTATCATTACTACACTGCTTCAAATTAAAGCAGCAAAATGTGGCTACTACCCTCAAGTCAGCATTAATAATCTTGTCCATGTATAATTAAACTGTACAGACTGAAAACCTGTATTTTTTTTTTTTTAAAAGTAGACCCTCTTTAGTTAAAAATACAGGGTTGGAGTATCCAATCCAAGTAACCATCACAGAAGAGGGGAAAGGCAATTTTTGTTGATTTCCCCTTCAATTACTTCTGAGGATCAGTCCCAAGAAACTGTGGGACACTTTAGTATGAGAGTCAAACAGGATAGTCAGAGAAAGATGAAATAGATTGAGATAATATCACTGCTCAATTCCTCCAGTGAACTCTAGTGAGAAATCCCTTCATGATGGAATGCTGTAAACTTATAATGGTGCTATAAAACTTCAGTCTCTAAAAGAATTTAAATTTTTGAACTAAAATGATAGAAAGGATCCTGCCAAGCATAGCCTTATTACACAATTTGCAGATTTACCAGAAGATAAAGAAGCACAAGGAAACAACTTGATGCAATATTATATGTTATTCAGAAAGCTCCAAATAAACATTTCCAAAAAAAAAGGAAATTTAAAGCCTATTAAAGAACCTTTCTGCAGAAGATCTCCCACTCCTAAATTCCATATGATCAGTTAAAACTTTTCTCTCAACTCTGGAATTGACAGTGAGATATAGTTGTGCTGCACATGGAGCATAATAAGAGGAAAGATCCCCAGTTTGTTTCCATCTTCACCATTAAGAATGTGGCAAAGACCAATAGGTAAACTGACAGTATAAGTTCTTCATAACTATTAGTTATGAACATACAATATAAATCAGTATCCAGACATTTTGCCGTCTCTGCTCAACAATCAAGTTTAAAATTTAGATGCCCTAAATCTGCAGTAATCACGTTTAAAACCCATTTGCACTAAACCTATATTGAATAACCATTTTGAAAGAATCACAGACCAAGTTCCAAATTCATTTATTGCCTTTTTTAAACTTCAAATTCATCACTAATTTCTGTACTGAAGAGGTAAGAAGTAACTGAATGTTCTTGCTAACAGGACATGATGCACACATGCTAGCTAATCTTTCAAATCAAGTAAATCCTCAGAGACATGCAAATACAGAAAATCCCAGGCAATCATTTAGTCTTTGACATAAACTGATTTGGTTAAATATCTAAATCATGTAGAAACTTTAACAAGATATTGCAAATTCAATATAAAAATTAGCACGAATATATCCATATTTTTATATATTAAATTTATACTATAGCAATACCATATACATTTACCTACAAATACCAAAACTATTTTTAGAAGTGACTTGATAGAACACAATATAGAAATATATTTTTAAAAAATCAAGTGAGAATGTAAACCACTATGAAAGAAACCATCAACATACTACAACTATTATAAGACCGTTGGGAAATAAACATCAAATTCTAGGCCTTAATCTTACTTCTTTCCCATGTATTAAAGTCAAATAACTACAAGGAATAAATTAAAGCAATGAGATGTAGAGTAATACTGTAAGATTAATGATCAATATAACACTATAAATGATAATAGTACTGTTTAGAACAAAAAGTATAATAGTTTACAATTAAATGTTCAAAAGTATTCAAGAGATATCACCATTTGATAGCATCAGGTTTTCACTTACGTGTTTTGAAAATATTAAAAATGGGCTTTTCAATGTGAAGTCTGAATAAGCAGTACATAAAGTCCCACTGCATCTTGACTCAGAATTGCAATTTAAGCAAATTAGAGTAAATTCTATCTCTACAGGTTGACATCAGTATCATATCTACTGTTTCTATTCCAGTAACCAACTATCTGATACAATCGGCAACTCTTACAGAAAGCTTCTCAGAAAAAGCTGTTATGGAAACTGATTTCTTCCTAGGTTTTTAACCCAATAACAGACTTACTTTTTTCCACTTACACCTTCTTTTACCTTTCCCGGCTTATTACAAAACTAAAACTGTATATGAATTACATTTAGAATTTCATTTTTAAAAGCCCAAATATTTTTGCAGCCTAGTAAAACAACGATTTTATCCAGAAATTGTCTCTTTTAAAAATAACAAATGAAGCCACAGAAAGCCCAGCTTTCTTTCAGAAAGCCCACATTTACTAAAGTATCTCCTTAGCAAGCTGCAGATTGAGACACAAAGAAACCGAAAAGCATTCCATTTCCCACTCCACCCTCTACGAGTATATTTCATATAATACTTGTTTTGTTAAGTCAGCCAGCCTAAGGTTTCGCTTTAGCCTTACATAGCCCAGAAGAAGCTACAAGAGCGTTAATTCATCTCTGTTTCAGAATCCATGTCTGACGTAGACCGTCCTCCAGGAAGTGCTCCAAATCTGGCTTTTCCACACTGGAGCTTCGTCCAGACAAGTTTTCAAGTTTCCCAGGCAAGGGGATGTCCACCACCTCGGCCTCCCTTTAAGAAAAGGGAAAGGGAACTGCGGCCCGTTTCCACGGCGGCCAACCCCTCCCTCCCCCTCCCGCCAAAGCACGCAGAGATTCACAGATGCTGACCTTCACCTCGACTCTCAAATCCACCCTTGACCTTTGCAAGCCATCCTCCGTTGCATCCGCTGAAAGGGGGAAGCCTCCAGCAGTCTCGCCCTTCCCAGGCTCTGGAAAGCAGGTGCGAGCGCCTGGCAAGGCAATAGCCGAGCAACTCTGACCGAGCCCTGCTGGCGGAGGCGCCCGAACAGCCGTCTTCCGCACTGTCTTTACCCGTTTGGGTAACAAAGAGCCAGGAACCGAAGGGGGGGGGGAGAGAGGGAGGCGCTTTCAGACCCTTCCACCCCCGCCGCCGAGACACTCCTCCTTCTAAGCTGGTCGCCACCAAGCTACTCACCCAGCGGCCCGGGCAATTCGGGCTGGTTCAGAACTGGGCAGCTACTTCCCCAATTCCGCTCCACGGAACCGGGAGCTCGGGTTATTGCAAGGCCTGCGTGCCCTTGGTTGCCTGGCGCTGGGAACGGCGGGGGAGGGGAACGGAGCCGTCTCCTCCTGCCGCAGGGCTCGCGGCCGCTGCAAACCACATTCACGGCGAGCAGAGTCCCGCGCGCAACGGGAAGAGGCCGGGCAGGGAACGTCCCGTGTTCTTCCGAAGCCCCGCGCGCGAGAAGGCGCCGCTTCCTACGCCGGTCGTCTGCGCTGCTGCTGTCGCCGCCGCCCGCTTCGCCCTCCTACTCCCTTCAACTTTGCTTCTCCGGCTTCGCCGCTGCCAGAAGCAACAGCCGCTCCGAGCTGGCTCCACCCACTCTGTAAGCGCGAGCGGGCCTCACGCGCCGGGCCTGCCGAGGGGGGGGGGAAGGAGGCGGCCCTTAAGCGCGCGGGTTTAAAGGGCCGGTTGAATGGCGAGCCAAGGCCGGAGTGAGAGGAGCTGGAAAGGGGAGGAGGCGGGACCTCGCCGGCTAAGCAGCCGCGCCTAGCTGCACGTGGACTGCCAGCGTTGCTGCACGCTGCCCCTTCTCGCGCCCCCCCCTCCCCGCGGCCGAGGTAGGCGGGGGAGACCGCAGGTTTCCTTCACGAGTATCGAGGACGGCGGTGTCGAGATAAACCAAACAAAGCGGCGATTTCTACTCGGTGCGATATGCCCCGTTTTGCATTCCTTTTACTTTGGAATGTTCTCACAAAACATTCCCCCTCCCTCTTCTTGTTCAACTTAAGCAAAACTTGAAGATGCCCTCAACGTGGGTCTGCATCGACTCAGAAGAGGCGCTTTTCAGTGCAAAAAAGCGTGGTACGTAAGAACAAACTCTTGACAGTCGAAACTTTATTTCGAAGTCTTCCTGAGGGTTTCTCCTATCCTTTTAATCCGAGCCCTGTTTTTTGCTATCACTTCCATTCCTCGAGGAAAAATCCCTTTTGCGAGATAGACAACTTTCTTTGGGGTACAGGACTTTCTAGAGCAGTAAAATTGGATTGGGGCACTTTAGTTTGTTAGTCTTTCATCTGCCAGAAATCTACTTATTTGTCATTCAGCCTATCTCACGTTGAATTGTTTTCAAATAGAAGTGAGTATAAAACAGAAATTCGTGTTTTGCTCCAAACCTGGAACAAAACCATTGCAAGAAGTTCCATTTCTATTTCAGATTGGCAGAAGTACAGCCTGTTTCAGATTTTGCCTGATCAAAATAGTGTTAGAGCCCCTCCCAGTGGCATCCAATGCAAGTAATTAGGAAAACCAGGTGGTGTGTAATGATGTCATGATAGAGATGCAAATATATATGGTATGTAAGTTGTTGCATTGCAAGATGATATGCACATTTCCTCATATTGCCCGCCTTCCTGCCTCAATAGAGGCCCATAAGCCCTCCTCTTGTCTTTATCTGCCAAGAAACAGCCAGATGGATGAGAAGAGGAGGGAAGCCTATTCTTTAAAATCAATAGAAATAATTACCTGTTTTGTTTACTATTCACTTTTCCAGACAATGAAGATGGTCATGAAACATTTTCCAAATTCTTCTCTAAATTGGAAAAAAAAAATGTTTTGGTGATGACCTACGTTCTAGGCCAGTGATGGCGAAATCTGTAGAGACCAAGTGCCCAAACTGCAACCCAGAACCCACTTATGTATTGCAAAGTGCTAGGATCATATCAACATTGTGGTGCCCTCAGGGGAGGCGGGGAGCATGGCCCACTGTTCGTGAGGGGGATGCCTGTGGGGGCCAGGCAGGGTTGGGGGAGATCTAAAGGGTGTCTGGCGAATGGGGTGGTGGGCAGGAGGCTCGTCCTGTAGGGGGAGGCATGGGGGAGGGCGGGGGTGCCATTGCCGCAGGGCAAGGCAAGGCAGGGGCCAGGGCGGCTGCTTCCTGACACCATTGGCCCCCGCACACAGAGGCCAGCGAGTGCATAGGGGCCGACAGTGTCCATCAGCAGCCACAGCCTGCTGGCCCGTTGACCAGCACACTCTGGGGCTCTGCAGCCCGCTTCCAATATCGGGCCAGCCCTCCAGCAGCAGGCGGAGTAAGGGAGGCAGGAGGCATGTGATGAAAACCGCTGGATGCGCTTACCTGTCCCATCTGTTTTTGCTTGCGGTTGGAGAGCAGGTTGCTGCTGGTCATCTCCTCCCCCTCACAGATCTTGCCCTTGGCCCAAGCATGGAGCCTGTTCCCCTTTCTCACCTGACCTGTGCAAGCTGCTGGCAGCAGTGGTGATGCACATGCCCACAGAGAGGTCTCTGAGTGCCACCTCTGGCACGTGTGCCATAGGTTCGCCACCACTGTCCTAGGTCATTTTCTGGTTTGTTAGTATAGCCAGCCATGCTATCCTATCTAGCTCACAGGATCACAATAAGACTCTTCTATTGCCTGATACTGGCCACAAGCCTGATTGCTTTGGCTACCCTGCATTTTTCCTGAAGAGATAGACTCTGCTCCCCACTGTATCCTGTCCTATATTCTGTCATCATAAAATGTGTCTATGTTCTTTGAGTTAGGATGAGCTTCCTTTCATTGACCTCAATGGGAAGACAATTTCTGGTGTCACGTGGACTCTAGTTATGCTACCATAAGAGCATGATCTTTGATTAGAGAGATATAAAATACTGCCTGAAATGTGTTCCTCCATGGGCCTATCATGTTCTGCCCCCAGTTGCACCCTGTTGTTGCTTCTCTCAATTGACAGAATGTTCCACCAACATATATGGGAATTTTACCAATTGTTGTGATGTCCTATCTCAACTTTCATCTCATTCCTTCCCCTTCTTAAGTTTTTCAGCTTGCAGATCCTGAATAAATCTGAAACTTCAAAATATCAGTGAGCAGAGCCTTTCGGCATGTGATGATTACAAAATAGTAAATCATGCAAATATTAGGTGTGATTTCAGCCTCCTCAAAAAAGGACAATTGCATTATAAGATGTGCTAGAAATTAGAATGCAGAACTACCAGATATTCTGATAAAGTTTTGTTTTTGTAGGTCATTTTAAAAAAATTGAAAACTAAACTAACCATCATTGAGAGAAGCTATGACCATACTGTATCCTTTATTACAAGGGTCCCCAATCCCTGGTCTGTGGACCGGTACCGGGCCACGGCATGCCAGCAACCGGTCCGCACAAACAAGCGAAGCCCCATCCGTGGGATGCAGGCAGCACACAAAACCATGCACTTCCTGGTGCCCAAAAGGTTGGGGATCTCTGCTTTATTATACAATTTTTGTTTTGTCAAAAATTGAGTGAAAACCTACTGTATGAAAGAATCGGTTGGTAATCAAGTTCTTTCTGCAACCACAGCCACCAAACACGTTTATTTTTAGCAGTGTGGTGAAAAGATGCAAATATTTCTTACCTATGTATATTTGCTTAAGATAGTATCTTTAAATGACTTTAATTGCTTAAATTAAGGGAGTGTCCTACCAAGAAAACAAGGGCATTCATTAAGAAAGCCACATCTGAATGATAATATGGCAGATTTGTTTTTCAACATTTTTGATGCTTGGTTTTTCTCTCTTTCCTCAATTATAGTTATTATGAGCCAGAAATCCAGCACAAAACACAGTTCTGAAGAAATGGGGAAGTATTGTTAGAACAGTACAAATGAGACGTGTGGCATTACAAGCCAATTATAACTTTCAAGGTCAAAAAACGTTTCTAAAAGGGGGATTATATATTAATACAGAACTGTGGTAGCTACAGCTTCCTTTCAATACTCCATTCCTTTGACCAAAGAGTAAGCGAAATAGACGGGACTGTGAGACATGTATATTTATTCAGGAGCAAAAAAAAAAATAATGATCCAGCCAATTCAGTGACTGTTTGCAATCATATCTCCTTAAGAATTGCTTAGGTATATAAATTGATACTTCTGATCTTGGGGAAAGAGACACTAAACACTCTTAAGAAAATTGGTACCCAGAGCAAATTATGTTGAGAACTTGCTGTATTAATCAGGTAGTCCTCGACTTACAACCACAATTGAACCCAAAATTTCCATTGTTAAGCAAGACAATGGTTAAATGAATTTTGCCCCATTTTATGACCTTTCTTGTTACAGTTGTTAAGTGAATTGTCGCAGTAACACAGTTATTAAGTGAATCTGGCTTCCCCATTGACTTTGCTTGTCAGAAAGTCACAAAAAGTGATCACATGAACATAGGACACTGCAACTGTCATAAATACAGGCAAGTTGCCAAGCATCCAGATTTTGATCATGTGACCATGGGGATGCTGCAAACGTTGGAAGTGTGCAATATGGTCATAAGTCACTTTTTTCAGTGCTGTTGTACTTTTGAACAGTCACTAAATGAATGGCTGTAAGTTGAGGACTACTTGTATAGTGTTTGTTGATATTTCAATCCTTATCAGGGATGCAGGAGTAAGTGTCTACAGAAGCTTTTCTTTCATTCCCCAGACTATCTCAAATTAGTAATAATGTGGGAGAAGGAAAAATACAAAATACACGGAAAATGATTGAAATTAATATTTAATCTCTGTAAATTAAAATAAATGAAATAAAATATTTTTGTCCTCATTCAACCTTCCTCTTTGTCTTGTGACTCCACTTATTGTTTGAGATACAGCCCATAGCATGCTATTCCAAAGCCAAGCAAGGCCTTGGAGAGAAAGAAATGGCACATATCCCTTATCTATCTTATCTAATCCAAGAATTGGCAGTGGCCATCCCTAATACATTCCTATTGGATGTAATTAAAAATATTATTTGGACATTTTATATGCAAAGCTCTATCACCTTTCTCAACAGAGCCATAGAGTGTTATGTAGAATGCACTTTTGTATTCATCTTCTGACTGCAATTGAGAACATAAAAGGTTTTTTTGTGTTTCAATCTGTATTTTGTTTAATTCTCTAATTTACTTTTTTTTATAACGGTAAATATACACATAATGCATATATAATGGGCATTCTTCATTCCAGCAGTAATAGAAGAATTATAATGAAGCATTGGCTCAAAAGACTAGGTGGCCTAACAAGAAGTTGGATTTAGCATAGGACAAGGGAACAATTACCCAGTGTTCTTCCGCATCCACACCTCAAGAGCCTCCAGGCACTGGGAGAGAATTGCAATGGCATAGATAGAAATATGTAATTAGGTATCATCAACATACTGATAATATCCTGTTCCTGTCGATGGGTGATCTCCCCCAGCGACTTCATATAGATCAGGGGGGTCAAACTGCCAGCCTGCAGGCCGGTTGCATCATACAGAGGCCGCACCCACCCCAGCTCTGGCAATGCAAAAAAAGTTATGATACGTCATGACACATCACGTTACGTGACGAGTTTGACACCCGTGATA